TAAAGAAATAGAGGACCAAAAGATGAACCTGGCTGTCTTCATCATTTTTGCTTTGTGTTGAATCTGATTCACAAACCACATATAATTAAATCATAGCCCAGGCTGGGCACAGTGGCTCACACCTGTAATTCTGGGAGTTTTGGAGGCTGAGGTGGGCAGATTACTTGAGTTCAGAGGTTTGAGACCAGCCTGAGCAACATGGTGAAACCCTGTATCTATGAAAAATAGAAAAATTGGCTGAGCATGATGGCTCATGCCTATAATTCCAGCACTTTGGGAGGCCTAGCTGGGCAGATCATTTGAGGTCAGGAGTTTCAGACCAGACTGGCCAACATGGCGAAACTCTCTCTCTACTAAAAATACAAAAATTAGCCAGCGATGGTGGTGCATACCTATAATTCCAGCTACTCGGGAGGCCCAGCTGGAGAATCACTTGTACCCAGGAGGCATGGTGGTTCTCCTGTGGTCCCAGCTACTCAGGAGGCTGAATCAGGAGGGTTGTTTGAACTCAGGAGATCAAGGCTGCAGTGAGTTATGATCACGCCATTGCACTCCAGCTTGGGTGACAGAGCAAGACCTCATCTCTAAAAAAAAAAAAAGTTTAAAATTTTGTATTTTTTTTTTTTTTTTTTTTTTTTACACGAGGTGTCTTATGCCTGTAATCCCAGCACTTTGGGAGGCTGAGGCAGGAGAATCATTTCAGGTCAGGAGTTTGAGACTAGCCTGGCCAATATGGTAAAACCTCATCTCTGCAAAAAAATACAAAAATTTGCTGAGGCAGGAAAATTGCTTGAACCAACGAGGCAGAGGCTACAGTGAGCTGAGATCATGCCACTGCACTCCAGCCTAGGCAACAAAGAAAGACTCTGTCTCTAAATAAATAAATGAAAATGAAAAAAAAAAAAAAAGAAGCATGGAGGGAGGAAGTGCAAAGTTTGTACAGCAGCTCCACGTATGATGCCCTCAAGGACTGAAGACCCTTCTGCAGCCTTTTCCTTTACCATCCTTAGCAGGTGAACGTTCATTTTCTTGTTTTCTAAATGTCTGGAGGAAGACTGGTAAAGGGCAAATTGTGAACCCAGGCACACTGTCCCCTTTGAAACAGCATTCCTGGAAGCCACAAGTCTCATTGGCTAAAACTGGGTCACAGGTTCACCCTTAGCCGCAAAGAATGCTGGGAGACTTTGAGCACTGCATCTGCACAGGAAATAAGCTTTTGCTGGTATGAGAAAAAAGGAAAATGGACACTGAGAGGCAGACAAATAGCAGAGTCCACCACCTAAGGCATCAGGAGGTAATAACTGCATCTCTGTAAACCTATGTGGATTTCTACAGGCATATAAAATTATAAAATATAAATTCTAAGCCAGAGGCACTAAATTAAAAAAAAAAAACTTGCCCTTTGACTATGAGTCATTTAGAAAAATATCTTCCTTCTCTTTCTAGAATCCCATTGTCTCAAATGAAAGATTCTGTTTTAGATTTCTTGCCTAGCTACCAAGACGGAATTCTCTGCAGGAAAACACTCCTCCTCCTGAGAAAACTCCTCTGGGACTAGATGCAGGGAGTTATGTTGTGATTTATGCAGGACTGGCTTTTGTGAGCTCATCCCGGCATTTAAAAAAAATGTGAATGGTGTATCCCTTTGTGATCATCATCACTTTTTCCCTGCGAGTCCCAGTCAATGCCAGCGTGACTGCTGGATGAAGTCTCAGGAAGCCCACCCCAGTGGAGAAGAAGGCTTTTGGGAGGCAGGAGATGCTATCCGATGACCACGTGAATGAAATCGTCATAGAGGTTGAGAATGTTTCCGCTGGGGTCCAAAGCCACCCATCCTTAAATCAGGTTTTTCAGGAAAAGGTGCTGCTAGACTCAAGCATCAACATGGTTTCATCAATATCTGACATCGATGTGACAGACTCCCAGACAGTCAGCAAAAGGAATGACCAAAAGGGCAACTGGGTGCTTCGGTTTTCAACACCTTTGAGTGAATCGATGTCTCAGACCCTTCATAGCCTAGAATGCATGGGCATAGACACTCCGGGTTCTTCACATGAAACTGTTCAAGGTAGTGAAATGCTGGGGAAGTGGACTTAGGGGAGTAGGAAAGAGAGCTTCCACATTGTCCACAGTCTATTTTACTTTTAAGATAGCAAATGGGTCCAGGCGTGGTGGCTCACACCTCTAACCCTACTTCTTTGGGAGGCCAAGGTAGGAAGATCACTTGAGCCCAGGAGTTTGAGACTAGCCTTAACAACATAGGGAGACTCCATTGCTACAAAAAGTTTTTAAAAATAATAACCAGGCATGATGGTGCACACCTGTGGTCCCAGCTACTCAGGAGGCTGAGGTGGGAGGATTGCTTGAGCCCAGGAGTTGGAGGCTGCAGTGAGGTGTGATGGCACCACTGAAACCCAGCCTTGGTGACAGAGTAAGATCCTGTCTCTTAAAAAAAAAAGACAAGTGGCCGGGCGCGGTGGCTCAAGCCTGTAATCCCAGCACTTTGGGAGGCCGAGGCGGGTGGATCACGAGGTCAAGAGATCGAGACCATCCTGGTCAACATGGT